AGATAATATCATTTAATTCAGATATTTATCCTAATTAATTAATTGGCCAGATAAACTGGTTCAATTAATTAATTAAAAGAGATAATCTTCTTTTCCACGTGGCGTGCTGTGATTGGAGACGAAAATATCTGCTCCCACACCTACTAAGTATTCGCTGAAATGCCCCAAAGAGTCTGCGCGGGAGGAAAGAGAATATAAGTTTGATGAATGGGGTCGTCGTCTACCTCCAAGGTTGGGATTGGCATACCCAACTCCAGTTACTAAAGAATTGAACTAGAACAAGGCAAAAAACAAAAAAACAAAAAGCAAAATTACAAAGACGGAAAGGACGGTCTGTTTTCTTCTTTTTTATTTCTTTCTGGTCCGAGGGGCTCTGATTTTTTTATCGTCGCACAATTTTTATTTATTATAATTTTGTTGAAGCTTTGGCTGTTCATTTTTTGTTTTTTTTTGTTTTTTTTCTTGCAATTATATTTGTTTTTTACTTTAAATATATAAAGTTTTTTTTTTTTTGGTTAAAAATCTGCCTAAGGCATTTGTGCATATATATATATATATTATATTTTTGGGGTCAGAAGCAGCTTTTGTGCTTATCATGGTTGTGTTTTTGCTTCTTTTTTGTTTTTTGTTGGGAAAGATGCTTTATTTGAACACCATAAGAGTACAAAGGAGAGGATGAAAACATCCGAAAACCAACCTGAAAGCCAGGAATAAAGGTGAAGTGAAATAGTTCTTTTTTGGTACAAAAAATTCTCTATAACTCCACAATTTTTTTGGTGACGAAACTCTAGTACAACTTTTCAATGAATTAAAAAAGGTGGGAATTCAAATATGGTTAAGAACCCAATCAATAGAATACAAGTAGGAGATTAACAAAGAAAGTTATTTCATACAAACTGAACGGCAACCGCTCACCTCAATTTGGAAGTTTTGATTCTGCTTTTGAAATTTGGAACTGCAGCAGTTATGTGGAAATAGAACTGCAAGTCTATACTACTTACTACAGATGTGGACTGTTTTATCACAGATCTCTTCAGATCTCTATCCTTCCAAAATCACCCTGCAGCTCCACACCTATCTACTTCCAGTCACAAGCTTCACAGATCAAATATCAATATCATTAACCTCTGAGACCACATAAAAGTGACCTACTGAATTTCAAATTTGACAACCAGATAAATATCTTTCAGATTTTCAATAAGCAATATTCATGGCAAATTATTATCTGGTTGTCTTGGTATGTACCTTATTGAGACCAACTACTATAAGAGGTTGAGGAGATGCAGTCCAAGTTTCAACAAATTCACAAGTGATTATGCACAAGAAAGCAGCAAACAAATAAAACCTACGCATGTTGAGAGAACAATTTGGCACAACAAAGTGTCATCTAATGCGTAATCTATAATTGCTTTAATAGTCCAAATGAATTCCTTAACCAGTACTAAAAAATTTCACATTTTAATAAGAGAGGAGAAAACCATAAGCCAGAAGAAAAATATCTACCACTTTCAGCACATGTCAAATGTGTTAAAGAATTAATATTGAAAAAGTACGATAAATGAGAGGAGAGGGAATCAACCAAAGAAAAAAAAAACAGAGTTTTGATCATTATTTGATCATCAACAAAAGAAAAAAAAAAAGCTCGAACTGTAAAACAGGTATGAATCCATATAAACAACGAAAATTATAACCTGTTTGGGTATGAGAATCCTTAGAATCGAATCAAGCAAAACACCAGCAGATGCTAAGCTTACAATGTCATCCATGTCCTGATATCTAGCAGCCTGCCATACACTAAAAGGTCATCTTCAACTACAATTTATTTCATGAAACCAGGATATAAATTCCAATAAACATCTCATTGTATAAAACACAATACATCACATAAGTTGAGTTCTTTCAATCAATACAAGAGGGTATTTTCAAAAGAGGATTTAACTTTTGGAAAATAGTAAAATCCACCAGCTTTCCTGCATTGATCTACCTCTCACCATACAACACTAATGTTACTCTGGTTACAACTTTTATAACCCAGATAGTCACAATGTGCACTACGAAAAAATATAAACCAAAATTGCTTCAGTGGCTAATTTATCACCACTGTAACTCAGATTTGAAGCTCATACTGCAAGCCAGCATAGATGGTCACAAAAGCTTCCAAAATCACATCTACCCTAGCTTTGAATAAATCAGTGACTAAATTAATATCCTTAAAGCAGACTTTATGGCAAGTAGTTCTTCCTTCCCAACTCTCTTCCAGACCCCGTCTATCATGAGATGGCCACTGACATCTTCTATGGATGAAACATGCTCACTGTCTGATACACAGCCATCCTCTGTTTCCCTCAACTTTTTAAAACATTGGTTGTCTAGTAGGTGCAAATCAGAACTAGCTTCTCTCTTGCCACTACACTGGTTCAATTCCCAGTTCTCTTTTCTTCCTATTAATTGAGAAACCTTTTCTGGGACAATATTAAAGTCCAGAACAGGAAGGCAACCAGAAAACCAAACAGCTCGAGGCAACATTCCAATTGGACACAGGTTCCATGATTTTGCCAGAACTTATCTGTTAGTATTTCTGGCATCAGCATCTATTCTCTTCACTACTTTTTTCTTTATTTTGTGACGTTTATGATAAACAGAGTACACAATCATAGGTGCAAATACACAGCAAATCCAATGCATACAATCTCCAGCTCAGCAATATTCTAGAAGAGAAGGAACTTACTAGTCATATATCCATCCTACACCTGTCATCATCTCCATATTCTTTGTAACCAATTCTATTCCAGATTATTCTTTTCAAGTGTATATAAACAGTGGTACTCTCACTGTACAAGTATCAATGAAATATACAATTCCAACCTTTCTTTTACTCTGTTCTTAATTCTTCACATGGTATCAGCCGCCTAAAACCCTACGGTACTATCCTATGGCCTCCTCTGACTCTCTACCTCTTCCTTCCTCTTCTTCCTCCTCTTCTTCTCTCTCTACTTTTTCGGCTTCTGCCATTCCCTCCCACCACATCGCCACTCTCATCCCTGTCAAACTCAACAGAGATAACTATCTTCTCTGGAAATCCCTCTTCACTCCCATTCTGCAGAATGCTGACCTCTATGGCCTTCTTGATGGTTCTGACCAATGCCCACCCCAATTTCTTCCTACCCTTGAATCTAATCCCGCTTATCCTACATGGGTTGCCAGAGATCGTACCTGCAAAATTTGGCTCCATGCTGCCATCTCTGAGTCTGTTCTCCCTTATACAGTCGGTTGCTCCTCCGCCCAATCTCTCTGGGACAACCTCGAGAAACGCTTCTCTGCCATCACTCGCTCCCATATCCTTCAGCTTAAGGGTCAGCTCCAAACCCTGAAAAAGGGATCTGACCCGATGATGCTCTATCTTGAAAAAATCAAGGCTCTTGCCGACGGTCTAGCCGCCGCCGGGGCTCCCCTTGCCGATCTTGACCTTATTGCTCACATTCTTCGTGGCCTCCCACCTGAGTATGACTCTTTTGGTACTTCGATCAGAGTCCGCTCTGACCCCATCGACCCTGATGCTCTTCATGGTCTCCTGATTAGTGAAGAGATTGAAATTTTACAACGTGACACCCTAAATCCCATTTCTAACTCATCTGCCCCTTTTCAGGCCTTTCATACCTCTGTTCATTTCAGGCCCACCTCTTCCCGCCCTTCTCCCGGCCCAAATCCTCCCAAATACACGTCCAACCCACCTCTCCTACCCACCCCATCTACTCCACCTTACCTCTCTCAGCCCAATACCTTTTCCCACCCATCCCACAATCGCTTCCGTCAAACCCCTAAAATCAGATGTCAAATTTGCAACAAACCCAACCACACCGCCATCGAATGTCGCCATCGCTCCAACTTCGCCTATCAAGGTCGCTCCCCTCCTGCTCGCTTCACTGCCATGACTGCTACCCACTCTCCTCCCCCCTCCAGCTCCCTCTGGTATGCAGATACTGGTGCAACCAACCATGTCACTCCTGACCTTCACAATCTCTCTCACCAGCTCCCCTATCAAGGCAATGACAAAGTCCTCGTTGGCAGTGGTGAAGGCTTACCGATTGCCAATACTGGTTCCTCCACAGCCTCTGCTTCTTCTTCCTCTTTTAAATTGAACAATATTTTACATGTCCCTCGCATTACTCAAAATCTGTTATCTGTGCATCGCTTTGTTTGTGATAACCACTGCATACTAATGTTCACTCCTTTTGAATGTCTTGTGAAGGATCTAGCCTCGGGACGCCTTCTCTATCGTGGCCCCACTGATGGCCATCTATATCCTATCAACCTCTCAATTTTTCCCAAGTCTCCACCTGCTGCTCTTCTCAGTACCAAGGCTTCCTCTTCCCTATGGCACAAGCGTCTGGGCCACCCCTCCTCCGTCACCGTTCAACACATCATCTCTCACTATCGTCTTCCTCTCCACCGCTCTTACGCTCATCACACG